GAATGGGAGAAATAAATCGCATTTGTTGAGCGCATCCGTCTAAGCGGTATGCGCCAGCGCCCGTTCTGCCATCTCTCTCTTTATCACTCTTCTACTTTACCCCGTTGTCCGTCACACTCCGACGCTGCCAGATAGGATCCTACAATCGAGTGTCTTTAACGCACCTACATACTTTTGTATATTTCCATCTCTCTTCCTCATCATAATGTATAATAATGGTTTTTCCCAAGGTGTATGTAAAGGCTTGCTTTATGAACTAATAGTCTTAAAAATTCCGGTCCGGAATCCGGAACGCTCTTCAGTATTACTCAGACAGACAGATCTGAAAAATTCATAATCTGCAAAAATCAGAACGTGTGTACTGCATAATTAAATTATATGCAATTTCGGACGTTCTGAATTATTAATATGAATTCAGTCTCTGAATTCAGAGAAGTATTCTGGCTGGGTGAGGCCGACCTTACTGATGATTAATTAGTGTTCCCTCTGATGGGTATCACGTATCTTGAAAAGAGTAACATTATGCCGATTTTTTTGACACTATGTAGGTTTTTCTATAAGATGTTGACTTAACACTTAGTTGTACGTGTTGCCTAAACGTCATGAGGCTTGTTATCAATCTTTGGCTCTGATGTGATGTAAAATCTGCTTCCGAGATGGCATTACTGGAGGTCTAAGCTGTAAGTTGTATGTGTTGATGATAATTACATTCGGTTCTTGTCTCAAATACACTTAATTTAGATTCAAAGCTAAAAATTAGTTGCGCATCCACTTTTTTTACCCATTCTGGAAATTACATATACAAATTTGCTGAATTTTAAAATGAGAGAGATAAGAACTGTACACTGTACACTGTCGAATTACAAGTCATATACATGCTAACAGTAATTACACACAGCGCAAACGCGGTGATGATTTCCCGTAATTCTCAGTTTTTCGTAATTTATAACTTTGAACGTAACCTCTCTTCAGAAAGGACAACATATAAATAACCAGTTGGGCACAGCCAATAGATATACTTCATTGGCAGCATATTCAGTAATGATTTTCTCACACAGCAAATATCATTGATTTTATATACATGCAGACCAATACACATAATCATCCAGATGCGATCTTGCCATTCAACCAACTTTCTTCTCAGAGATAAAAACTATAGACAAGGACCATTTGGCCTCACAAAACATATGCAACCAATAATGCGTGTAGTTTAGTTGAGTGATTCCTCCTTAGATGGACGTTCACAATGATCCTAGTGATCAAACGCGGAATGACTGTTTGCGCCCTAAAAACTACCTAGTTTACAAGATGACATCTTATAGGTCTTTTTTTGACGTTTTTTAGGTTTTTTACGTGATACCCATGCGGGACCGTCTTTCACTTTTAAGAAACACCATGTATCTGTGCTCACAGGTCGATATCCGTTTGTCCGATTTGGTAAAAATCAACACATGTTTGCAAAATAATATATATCTAAATATAGCTGGTTACGTTCAACCAGGCACCGAAACGGCAAAACTCCTATTAAAACTAAAAATAATCAACATATGCAAGCGAGTTGTTTCGATATCTTAATTGCTTATTTTTAATATATTATATTATTTTTAATATATGAACTTTATTGAAAGATTAAGCATATCGCGATTTGAAGAATGCAGGCTTTCACGGCTAATTCTAATGTAATTTAGGTTTTTCGGGCTGTTGAGCCGTGGTCGGGTTGGATTTGGTCCAGATCTGCTACATCTGCGGTAGCTGTCTTCAGTAGTGCTTTGGCGAGAGCGAAGTGCTCGGCTTGGCGGGTCGATTGAAACTGATCGGTTAATTTTTTTTTTTTTTTTTTTTTTTTGGTGAGGGGGGAATGCGTTTACGCACCATACCATAGCCCGAGCTACGGCGTGTGTGGGACTCCAGGTTGTATTGAGGAGACCACCTAATACCCACTAAACCCTAACCTCCGCGTGGCCCGACTCATCAGCGTCTCGGTAGGCCATGAGTTGTGCGTGACCTGCGGTCTGCTACAACGTCTCCTCATGTGTTACAGTCTGTGGGAACGCCGGGCTGGTCCCCTTTACCTCGCACATTCTATCGATGTCGTTAAGCGATCATCGATAGAGGGTCTGCTAGGTTCTCTTGAAACTCTTGTTTTCGAAAAATCAAGAGTTTCAAGTCCTCTTACCTATATATTGTTCCTGGTCCTGGTCCTGAAGGGTCCTGGTCCTGGTGGGTCCTGGTCGTGGCGGCTCCTGGTCCTGGTTGGTCCTGGTCCCGGTGGGTCCTGGTCCCGGTGATTACTGGTCCTCTGCATCCACGCCGCGGGGGGGGAGCAACCGCGGGTTCTCCTAGTCTCCTAGTCAAGGTTCCAGTTAGCGGGTGCCAACTGGGACCTTGGTCTAGGGTTCTGCGGTTGCGAGGCCTCTCGTCCGGATCGTAGTCCATGAGGAATAGTAGCTGCTCGTTCGGGTGGTCCTGAGCTTTCTGAAAGGTCTTCTCCGCTTTTTTCCTCATGTACTCGTGAATGGTATCCCAATGCAGATCTCCACGCAAGGTTAAGTTCGTTACGTAGGATGGTGCATTGGTGGCGATCCGGAGTAGCTTCATCTCTAGAGCAGCAAGTCGCTTGCGGTAGCTGGGAGCAGCGTAACCCCAGACCGCGGAGGCGTAAGCGAGCTGAGGTCTGGCGATGGCCTTGATCAGCCGTAGCTTGGTCGCTAGCGGCATCCGGCTGTGTCTACCCAGTAATGGGTAGAGTTGAGCCATGGCTGCTCTAGTCTTTGCGATGACAGCTTCTATGTGGTCTTTGCAGGTGAGGGACTTGTCAAACAGGATCCCCAGATATTTGACTTTGTCGCTCCACTGGATATCTTCGTCGAAGATGGATGCTTCGAGAGGTCTTGCAATCCTTCTTCGTTGGATGAAGATTGCCTGCATCTTCTGGACGTTGATGCGGATTTTCCATTTCACGCACCAGTCCTGGATGTGGTCCTGTTCATCCTGTAGTCTCCTACGGATGATCTCGGCTTGGCGATGCTTGGCGGCTATAGCAGTGTCGTCTGCATATAGGGCAAGCATTGTGTCAGTTGTCTTCGGTACGTCGTGAGTATAGATGTTGTAGAGCAGGGGGGCTAAGGCTGACCCCTGGGGCACGCCTGCTTCCAGCTGTCGTCTTGTTGAGTGGCATGTATCAATCTTCACCGTGAACCATCTTTGTGTTAGATAGCTCTGGATCAGTTGGCACATGTTTGCATCGATTCCGGCGGCTTCCATTTTGGCGATGAGTCCATCGTGCCAAACTCGATCGAAGGCTTGTTCCACGTTTACCAGGACGAGGCCGGTTGCCACCTGGAGATTGAAGCCGCTGGTGATGTTTTCTGTCAGTCGTAGCGCTTGGAGTTCCGTGTTGTGGGAGGATCTGAAGCCGAATTGCTCTGGGGGGAGAAGTTGCAGTTCTTCTGCCTGCTTCTCTAGTCTAACGGCGATAGCCTTTTCGACTACTTTGCCCATCGAGGAAACCAGGCTGATGGGCCGGTAGTTCTAGGGCAACTTCCGGTCCTTGCCTGGCTTGGTGAGCATTATAACCTGGGCGTCCCGCTACCGCCGCGGGAAGTGGTTAAGTCTCAGAGTGGCATTGGCGATGTTGGTGAGCGCAGCAATGCCTTTGGAGGGAAGGTTCTTCAGCATCCTGTTGTTGATGCCGTCCCTTCCCGGTGCCTTTCTGACCTTCAACCTGCGGATGATCAGACGGATTTCCTCTGGACTGGAGGGGTGATCCGTCTCCTGGCCAGGTGGTCGACTCCTCATGATTTCGGCTGCGACTTCCACGGCCTCCTCGTGGTTGTCGTCCTCGTCTTCATGGTGATCGGTTAACTAGATGAGCGTGCGGTTTTATAGGCGATCGCCGGACTGAGGACTGAGTTGTCTGGTGGGGGTACTCTGGGCCTCTTGAATGACGTGACTTTTGCGCTGTGTTTTTCAGAACGGGGTACCACGTTTTATTTAAAGCAAGGCCTTCTTCTTTTCAATTGAAATTATCATTGTGTTTGTAGATTTAAATTGAATCTCTGTACATTCGGGCTGAGTAGTGGGTGGATGTTGATAGGACTTCAGTTTGGTCGAACAGAACATTGTGGCCGTCTTGGAGTGCGTGTTCGGACACCGCTGGTTTATCAGTTTGTCCCAGTCGACAGTTTCTTTCATGCTCCTTGATGCGTGTTTGGAAGCTAGGTTTAGTGGTGCCTACGTATACTTTACCAGAGGAACACTTTATTCTGAATACGCCGGCAACGCTCAGGGGGTCCCTACAGTCCTTTACTGATGTTAGGAGTTGCTGGATTTTATTTGTCGGCTTGTAGATGTTCTTGACGTAGTGTTTCTGTAGCAACATTCCTATTCTATTCGTGATGCGTTTAATGCATGGTAGGAAGGAGACTCCCTCGGATGGTTCCTTGTCTCCTGCCGGCGGTCTGCTTTTTTGTCGTGAAATCTGTTCTATTTGTTCCCTGCGATAGCCGTTTGCTTGTAAAACCATGTTAACATGATCCAGTTCGCCCGGCAGGTATTGAGGTTCACAAATTCGATGTGCCCTGACAATCATATTTTTAATGACACCTCTTTTTCGCCGAAAGCTCTGGACCAAATCCAACCCGACCACGGCTAAACAGCCCGAAAAACCTAAATTACATATCGCTATTGTTTGTAAACAACCATGCGAACAGCGAAGAAGCCTAGATACCGACTGGTATGGATTTGAAAAGAGGGTAATTAATTTGAAAAACAAATAAAGTTGGTACCAAAACCGTACTATGTGGAACATCCGCGTTGATATAGTGAGTCTCCAGAGTACAACAAATACCTTACGATCGCTAGCCATGTGCAAATCCCATTTTTGGATTTTGGTTCTGAGAAACGTTATTTTTCCGAGGGCAAATACGTTGGCTTTAGCTTTTGAGACGGTCGAAATATGATGAGACATCATTTAGTCAAAAGGTTATGTTTCTCTCTAGGTGGGTGCTTCCAGAATCTCCAAGATGGCTTCTGGCCTTAGGCCGCACGACAGAAGTGATGTCCATTCTAGAAAGCGCCTGCAAGTTCAACGGGAAGAAACTTCCTCCGAACTTGGACAAGCAGTTGCTTCCAGGAGCAAACGATGAACCAGTGGAAAACGTGAGCGTCCTGGACCTGTTCAAGACCATTCAGATGAGGAAAAGGACTCTGTGCTTGTTTTTGATCTGGTTCAGTGTTTATTTAGTGTACTATGGACTTGTGCTGAATCTGGGAAATATTGGCGGGAACCTTTATGTTAACTCGGTAAGTGAAAGGTGCAGTAATAATGTAAAGTAGGCAATCTGAAAAGCTAGAATTAACTATGTAATTATTAGGATTTCAAAGATTTCAGAAATTTCAAAATTTTTCAAAACTTTCAAAATTTCCAAAATTGTCAGAATTTAAAAATTTTTAAATGTAAAAAATATTAAAACTTTTCAAATTTTTCGAAATTTACAAAATTTACAAAATTTCGAATATCCCAAATTTTAAAATTTTCCAAATTAACTAAGTTTCCCAAATTCCTGAAATTTCACAAATTTCCTAAATTTCCTAAATTTCCTAAATTGCCTAATTTCTTAAATTTCCTAAATTGCCTAAATTTCCTAAATTTCCAAAATTTGCAAAATTTCCAAAATTTCCTAAATTGCCTAATTTCCCTAAATTTCCTTAATTTCCTAAATTTCCTAAATTTCCTAAATTTCCTAAATGTCCTAAATTTTCCTAAATTTCCTAAATTTCCTAAATTTCCTAATTTCCTAAATTCCTAAATTTCCTAAATTTCCTAAATGTCCTAAATTTCCTAAATTTCCTAAATAAATTTCCTAATTTCCTAAATTTCCAAAATTCCAAAATTTCCAAAATTTCCAAGATTTCCAAAATTTACAAATTTCCAAAAATTTCCTAAAGTTAAATTTCCTAAATTTCCTAAATTGCCTAAATTTCTTATATTTCCTAAATTTCCTAAATTTCCTTAATTTCCTAAATTTCCAAAATTTCCTAAATGTCCTAAATTCCTAAAATTTCCTAAATTTCCTAAATTTCCTAAATTTCCCCAAATTTCCTAAATTTCCTAAATTTCCTAAATCTCCTAAATTTCCTAATTTCCTAATTTCCTAAATTTCCTAAATTCCTAAATTTTCCTAAATTTCCTAAATTTCCCTAAATTTCCTAAATTCCTAAATTTCCTAAATTTCCTAAATTCCTAAATTTTCCTAAATTTCCCTAAATTCTTAAATAAATTTCCTAAATTTCTAAATAAATTTCAAAATTTCCTAAATTTCCAAAATTTCAAAATTTCCAAGATTTCCAAAATTTCCAAAATTTCCAAATTTCCAAATTTCCAAAATTTCCTAAAGTTCCTAAAGTTCCTAAATTTCCTAAATTTCCTAATTTTCCTAAATTTCTTAAATTTCCTAAATTTCCTAAATTTCCTAAATTTCCTAAATTTCCTAAATTTCCTAAATTTCCTAAATTTCCTAAATTTCCTAATTTCCTAAATTTCCTAAATTTCCTAAATTTTCTAAATTTCCTAATTTCCTAAATTTCCTAAATTTCCTAAATTTCCTAAATTTCCTAAATTTCCAAAATTTCCAAAATTTCCAAAATTTCCAAATCTCCAAAATTTCCAAAATTCCTAAATTTCCTAAATTTCCTAAATTTTCCTAAATTTCCTAAATTTCCAAAATTTCCTAAATTTCCTAATTTCCTAAATTTCCTAAATTTCCTAAATTTCCTAAATTTCCTAAATTTCCTAAATTTCCTAAATTTCCTGAATTTCCAAATTTCCTAATTTCCTAAATTTTCTAAATTTCCTAAATTTCCCTAAATTTCCTAAATTTCCTAAATTTCCCTAAATTTCCTAAATTTCCTAAATTTCCTAAATTCCTAAATTTCCTAAATTTCCTAAATTTCCTAAATTTCCTAAATTTCCTAAATTTCCTAAATTTCCTAAATTTCCTAAATTTCCTAAAATTTCCTGAATTTCCTAAATAATTTCCGAAAGGTCAGAAATTCCTAACATTCCTAAATTTCCTAAATTCATAAATCCGAACTTCCTAAATTTCCTAAATTCTAAAGTTCCGAAATTTCCTAAATCCTAAATTGCCTAATTTCCTAAATTTCCGAAATTTCCTAAATTTACTGAATTCCTAAATTTCCTAATTTTCGAAATTGCCTATAATTCAAAAGTGACTAGATTTACGAAATTTCAGAAGTGTCAGAAAGCTACAAAAATGTCACAAGATTTGCCAAATAGCAAAAGTAAAAAATTTTAAAATTTCTAAAATCCAAAATTTCCAAATTATCAAAATTTCAAAATATTCGAAATCGAATTATATAATTTTCCAAAATTTGGAGTTTTCAAAATCAGAATTATTCAAATTTTGAATATTACTAAGATTTTGAATTCGTTTTTTCTCTACTCACAGGTTCTCCAAGGCGCCGTCGAGATCCCAGCAGTAGCCATCAGTATCTTCATTCTCCTGAAGGGCGGTCGTCGTTGGCCCTTGTCCCTCACTATGGTGATCTCAGGGATTGCATGCGCCCTTACAGTGCCAATCTATCTGGCCACCGCTGATATGCAATGGGTGGTCACCTCTTTGACCATGATCAGCAAATTCTGCGTCAGCTCTTCCAATGCCATCATGCCAGTATTCACTGCTGAGTTGTATCCGACCACCATAAGGAATATTGGCGTTGGGGCGGCCAACGTGTCCGCAGGGATTGCGTTGATGTTGGTACCGTACTTGTGGAACTTGGTGAGTTGTCATCTAAAATTATACAGCGCGTCCTGGATGTTTCCTTTTCCCAAACAAGAAGCTTTAAATAGCAAAGCTAATACGAGTATGCAGTGAGAACGTAAAAAGCAAATTGAAAAAGTACCCACTATTCATTTCATAAGAAATTTCGTTCTTCACTGTTTGTTCACTGTTTGTTGCCACTTGATTCAGTGTTTATTCTTCTATCTTTTGAAGAGCGAGAGGTAGCATATTTTCCCACGGGGCCAAATTGTCAGGAACTCCAAGAGTGTACAGAAAAGCATGCTAATTTTACGCACCTGTTTGACTAACTTGATCCATTTATTTTCTTGTTATACATGTCCATAGCTAACTTTCTCAGAGGGCAGTGCCAAGCTACTTGACGCTATTTTTTGTACTGCTTATTGTTTAGAGTTACCACTGTCTAAAAATAGATCAGATCCTACAGAATTACTTGTTTATTATTTTATTTTGTACTTATTTTTCAGTCCACTCTTCATGCGAGCGTCCCTATGTCAGTCCTAGCAGTTTTCGGGGTTTTCGGAGGTCTATCAGTCCTTTTCCTCCCGGAGACTGGTGGAGTGAGGCTTATAGACACCATCAAGGAAGAAAAAGAGATCACGAAGATCGCTGACATCGAAACTAACGAAAACAAGAAGATCAACAATAATTGCTGTACATAGAATTTGCGTAGGTACTTACTGAGTGATAACGTAGGTATACAAGGAACTTGAGCAGTTCTGTGCAAGTGAAAAGTGAAACTTCAAAATTGAAGGTTAATTGAGATGACAATGGACTAATTTCTGTGTATAACTTCTAAGAAGTGTGGACATTTAGTTGCTTAGCATAAACGAGATCGTGTGAATCTGTATTTATAGCTCACTACCATAATGGAAGAGAGTGGCATAACTCGTCGTACGCCAATGTTAACGCAGGTCTTAACAGTGGCGTAGTCTCTCTTCGATTCTGGTCAAATTATCATAACAGAAGACAAATATATGTTTTCATGCCAAAATAAAACTTATTTTCAATCAATTTTTACACATACAAAATTAAATTGTGGAATATATTTTGTAAAAACTACTTATAACTTGAACAACTTAACCAGAATACTCTAATGAAAAGACTAAATAAATGATATCTTCAGTGCATCCGACTCCAGTGCCATCCTTTTGTTTATGTTTTATGCTAAACGATGATTCAAACTATAATCAGAACAACAGTAGAATAAGTGTAATGAGTACATCGTTTCCCAAGAGTTTGCAACCCACATGTCATGTTGACAAGATAACAGCAACATGGTCATTGGGCCATTCCTCCATAGATGGCGCTTGCAGCAAGCAAACTGTCGAGCAGTCTGCGGATTATTGGCACAGTTGATTAAATGTATACTTCATATGTGCATACGTATATGTTTGGACTAATATTTAGTCTGTTAGTATTCATGAACAAATAAATTAAGGTTAAAGTAAATGAAAATGTCATGTCACCATTTGACTTAGCAAAATTGCTGTGAACTTTTATAGCGCTTCTAAACGGGCAATGTTTATTTACCTATATTTTTGGCATTTCGAACCTATTTTCAGAGTGCCAAATGTAACCTAATGCAAGTAATCCAATCGTACAAGCCGTTCTAGCCTGATATTGTAGTGCTTCCGAGGAGAAATTCTGACCAGATGTGTCTACACATCGCAGACAATACGCGTATTGTCAAGACAATGACTAATGTAATTTTAAGAATTTCAAAATATAAAATTATCCAAAATGTTCAGTCCCAAAATTTCCGAAATTTACAAATTTTCCAAAATTTCCAACGTGCCCAAAATTTACAATGTCCAAAATTTCCAAAATTTCCCAAATTTTCAAAATATTCAAGATTTTAAAAATCTTAGAAATTTTCAATATTTTAAAAATTTTCAAAATTTTATAAATATTCAAAATTCTAAAAATTTTCAAAATTTCCAAAATTTTCTAATTTTCCAGTAATTTGAAAATTTTCATAATTTCCGAAATTTCCTACCAAAATTTCCAAAATTTACAAGATTTCTAAAATTTTCAGTTTTAAAAATATCCGAAATTCCCAAAATTTTCGAAATTTTCAAAATTTTCAAAATTTTCTAAATTTTCAAAATTTTATAAATATTCAAAATTTTCAAAATTTCCAGTAATTTAAAAATTTTCACAATTTCCGAAATTTCCTACCAAAATTTCCAAAATTTACAAGATTTCTAAAATTTTCAAAGTTTTAAAAATATCCGAAATTCCCAAAATTTTCGAAATTTCTGAAAGTTACAGAATTTTCAAAATTTCCGAAATTTCTCAAATTTCCAAAATCTCCAAAATTTCTAAAATTTTCAAATTTTCCAGTATTTCAGAAATTTTCAAAATTCCTGAAATTGCCTACCAAAATTTAAAAAACGAAAATTTTCCAAAATTTCAAAATTTTCAAAATTTTCAAAATTTCCGAAATTACCAAAGGTTTCAAAATTTCTAAAATTTACAGAATTTTCAAAATTTCCGAAAATTCTCAAATTTCCAAAATTTTCAAATTTTCCAGTAATTTGTAAATTTTCATAATTTCCGAAATTTCCTACCAGAATTTTCAAAATTTCGAAATTTCTCAAATTTCCAAAATTTCCAAAATTTTTAAATTTTCCACTATTTTAGAAATTTTCAAAATTCCTGAAATTGCCTACCAAAATTTAAATAATGAAAATTTTCCAAAATTTCAAAATTTTCAAAATTTCCGAAATTCACAAAGGTTTCAAAATTTCTAAATTTACAGAATTTTCAAAATTTCCGAAAATTCTCAAATTTCCAAAATTTTCAAAATTTTCAAATTTTCCAGTAATTTGTGAATTTTCATAATTTTCGAAATTTCCTACCAGAATTTTCAAAATTTCCGAAATTTCTCAAATTTCCAAAATTTCCAAAATTTTCAAATTTTCCAGTATTTTAGAAATTTTCAAAATTCCTGAAATTTCCTACCAAAATTTAAAAAATTTACAAAATTTCCAAAATCTCCAAAATTTACAAAATTTCCAAGATTTTCAAAATTTCCAAAGTTTCTAAAATTTGCATAACCTCGAATATTTCCAAAATTTTATAGCTGCATTACTCATTTCTAAAGCATGAACAAAAACCAAGAGATCATAGCACCAGCATTAAATCCATAGAGAACAAAGTTCACTTCATATTTATCGATACTTTTTCATTCAAAATGCTTCATCATATATTTCATATTCTTATTTGCCGCGAATGCGTTTTATGTTACATAGAGAATCGACAGACAATCATTCACGTCCCGTACTCAATGTGTACAAACGAGACAGAGAGATAAATGCATACGTTAAAGCGAAAGCGCGAATTTTAATCCACAGACTCGTTGTCCTTGGTGTCAGGCACGCTTCGTTCGCGCTCTCTCTCTAACAAACATGCCTCTCTCTCTCTATCTCTCTCATACACATGAAATACAAGACCTCAATGATTCTCTGCCAATCGTGTATAAGCTGTATGTTGTCCTTGTAAAGTGTATAAATTGTGTAGATATTAGTTGTCCATGTACCTATACTTACATATTTATTTTGTCATAAATAGATAGTTAAGAAGTTAATGTTAACTGTAGGATGTTCAGTATTTTTATGTATAAGGCATCAATGTCCAGTTAAAATAATCTTTACAGTACTTAATAATTTTAAATGTGTACACTATAACGAATGTCGAAATTATTTGAATATTGTCAATTAATAAATGTGAAATGTACTGCAAAGTCTAGCTTTGTCAACCTTTACTACCCGAGCGCTGACGCTGACAAGAAACGGAAGAATTCTAGAAATATTCCAGCTGTTCTAAAGGAGAGAAAAAGACTAAGAAAATCAAGGAGGCTTGAAGGCGTCCTACAATTATTGTAGGAACCTTAGCTACAGAAACCTATTTTTTCATTGACCCCTGGTACAATATTGCGACTAGACCACAAATTCCACCAATGAAAAAGAAGTATTTGCGACCTAGTAGGACACAAGTATCATATCTACTTTGTAAATAATATAACCAAATTAAAAACAAATATTAATAGCTTAGAAAATTTAAAAATGGATATATCGGTTGTTAATTAGGTGCCGATTACAACAATTCTTTAATTAACTTCAATTGTAAACATTTAAATAAAAAACTATTTAATTCAATTACTGTATTTTGCGACCTTTGTAATATCAAAGTGTGTTTAAAAATAGTAAGTTTTTACAATATATGCAGTAAAATTGCGATAATAGCGTGGAAAGTTTATTCCTGATAAAGTGAATTATGATCTCAATTGAATATTGCAGATATCAGCAATAACATGTACAGTTCTATTCAATGCCCCGGCGCCCTCGGATGTTCAAAATCATATTAAAATTCGATTTAAGGCAGCTCCGACGCAGTGAGTTTCAAGCCATTTACAAGGGTTCGAAACTGACACTCAATTTTTCAATATTTTTGAATGAAATTCATACAGTATGTTCAGAAGATAATTGCCGACGGTACTGTAGGAGCACTTTTTGAAATTTTGTTTTTGCACAAGTTTTATGATGGATTCGTTTTGGGGGCGAAATTCG